TTATTTACTTAAATATTTAATATATATATATATATATATATATATGAATTTGAACGGATAGTGTTTTTGGCCTCTGGGGACCTCAAAACGAAAAAGTAAATCGGTCCCGGGTCTAGGTCTTACCATGAGACCTACGGTAATAGCTTATTCCCTATATGGGGATTTATATAATAATAAGGATATTTATTATAATAATAAATTATCGTTCAACTATTCCCTATATGGGAAATTCGCTAAAACATACTTATACCAGATTTCAAAACCGGACAACCTATTTGTTGGTCTGAGGTGAGGAAGGGCAATATAGGCTATGCTGGAAGTCATTAAAAGACTAGGAAGAAATATTTGGCAAATAGAAGAAGGAGGACAAGTGTTTAAGAACCACGCAGATCAACTCCGCAAAAGGACACAGTTATAGATGTGTAGCTAATCTCAGGGGGGAAATGTCATGGTCTAATAGCCATATGGCAATGTTTACTTTTGTAATGTTTTTGTTTTAGTTATCTTGTTGTGCTATTTCTGTAATAATAAAAGTTTTGAATTAATTCCTTTAGTTTAATCTCGGTAAATCACATACAAAACACTTCAATATACTACTAAATTATTGGTATTTTTAAGATCAGAAAAATTGTCTAGAGAGTAGTTGGGAAACGTTATGTTTTGAGAGTCAAAAATGAAAAAACACTATTTTTACCCCATAAAACCCCGTTCCCATGGTCCAATCATGCTGGTTTACAAACTCGTTTGAATAAACGTAGATTTACACGTTTGTACCAAATTTCTTAGAGATTGGATCGTTTTTGCTAGAGTTATCGTGCTGACAGACACACACACACACACTCACATATATATATATATGAATTTGAACGGATGGTGTGTACACTTAGGCCTATGTGTTGGCCTTCGTTTAGACTATGGACCAAAGAACGTAGGCCTAGTTTTAATCACAGTGAAGTACATACACACACTCACAAAACATATTTATCAATAGTAGCACTCCATTTCACCAAATAAAGTCAAACCGACCGTTACCAATATTTAACACCGACGACGACATAACATAACCTCAAGACTGGTGTTTGTTGACAGACGACAGACGAAAACTAGACCGGCTCTACAAGTGAATTTCGTACAGCTGTTGTCTAGTTTATAGTTTGCCGCTTGAGCGCATAGGCCTCGGCCGAGAAAATTGTGATTTGGCCCAAAGAATTGATTATTTGTTGTTCGACCACCGAATAGCTCGCTAGAAGCCTCTGACGCGAATACGATCCACGAAGTAACACGATCCCATCCGTTCAGGTTAGCTTCATTGTGTTCAGACTTTTTCTCCTACGCTTATTTTATTTTCGTTTAGAACATACGTACACTCCTTTGCCACTCATTCTCGCTTACTTAAATTAGATTTTAAAAATTTAAATTTAATAGCTTAGAATTCATCGACTTGAGAGTAGACTCCCCAGTTCCTGCCGGTCAGTGACTAGCGGTGGATATAGTACTGTATTTTCAACTACAAAATTACTACTAACCCGTTCGTTTAACAAAAAATTAACATACATATTAACAAAAATTAACGACAAGTAAACAAAAATTATTACGTATACTTGTCGTTTTAATTAATTCACCGTTTTAATACCCCGAGACTTGTTGTCTGAGTTCTAAACCTCGTCTTGGGCAGGTGAAGGAATCAAGTCTTGGAAGTGGTCCGATTTGAACAATTAATTACGAAGAATAATAGTATTAAATTTATTTTAAGCCTTCCAATGCCAAATTTTTTGTTTGAATATATTAATTAGGCCCCGACGACTCTGTAAAGGAATCAAGTCTTGGAAGTGGTCCGATTTGAACAATTAATTACGAAGAATAATAGTATTAAATTTATTTTAAGCCTTCCAATGCCAAATTTTTTGTTTGAATATATTAATTAGGCCCCGACGACTCTGTAGGGATTTTTTACACTATATCATTCGATCGTGGCACTTTCATTTATTTTACCAGAGCCGGCAGAGCCTTCTGTTAATTATTTTAAAGCTTAATACGAGCATTTTATCGCATTGGCCAGGATAGAATACTTGTCTGCCCAACAGAGTAAATCGTCTAAAAGTTAAGCAAAATTTTCCAAAACATTTTGACAAAGGTGAGGATGATATAGCTCCAACTGAGCATCTGCAGGATTTCCTGAGCACTTCTAGAGCTCTGAGCCTTCAATTAAATCTATACTTATACGCAAGCAGGTTTTTTGTGACAATTATTCCTCCAAAACTACTGAACCGATTGACATGTTTTTGGTGTCATTGGAAAATACGTAACTTGAAGTTGTGCAAGAAACTTTCTTTTTAGGGAAATAATTAGAGAGTGAGGCCCTGGGGCCCTGTAAACTTTTGTATTTCTCCATAAGATTAACATGGGAAACAAACATTGTTATGAAACTCCAGCTGTTGTCAGAAGTTAAATATTAATACCCCCGCCGCAGCAAACCTGCCGACTAAGCGAATTTCCATTTGTCTGAATTTATTTTCAGTTAAATATATTTTAATAACATAAGGTTTAACGAGTACCTAGGTTTGCTGCTACAAGGAAACTAATAAAGTGTGTTTTTGAGTAAAATATTGATAGCTTAGTACAAAATAAATAAATTTGCCAAGTTTGATCAAAATATATCCATAAACAAGCACTACAACATTTGACAATATTCTCCATGAGAATAACATGGGAATTTTTAATTTACAATTTTTTAAATTTTCTCCGTTACTAATAATCGAACAAAAATACTTTTATATACTAAATTATTTGTTTTTTAAGCTCTTTAAAAAGGTCTAAAGATAAATTGGGAAATTTTGTGTTTTGAGGGTCAAAAGTGAGAAAAACCAATTTTTACCCCATAAAACCCCCCGTAAAGCCCCGTTCCCATGGTCCGATCGTGCTGGTTCGCGAACTCATTCAAGTTTATCCCGCTTTACACCTTTAAACCAAATTTCATCAAAATCGGACAAAAATTACTTAAGTTATCGCGTTCACGGACGTATATATATATATATAAATCTATATATATATATACATATATAAAAATTTGAACGAATGGTGTTTTTGGCCTCTGGGGACATCAAAATGAAAAAGTAAATCGGTCCCGAGTCTAGGTCTTACCGTGCCACCTACGGTAATAGCTACTTCCCTATAGGGAAATTCGCTAATAATTGGTCTACATGGAAACATCAGAAAATTCACAATGTTTACCTTTGCTTTGACATTTAAATATAAACAACCAGAACTGACAAATGCCTATTTTACAATTTAAAAAACAGCTGATCCTAAACAATTAAATAAACTATTTTACACAACTATAGCAGGATGGGCTTAATTGTGACATAGGACGGGAAAAAATTAGAGGAAAAAAAATAATTTTCCTTATTTGTGTTTTATTATACAAGTATACATAAAATAAACACAATGGAACACTTCATACTGTCAAAATTATTTTTTTACTCGTTTTTAACTATGCGGATATATCCACTACCCGTCCGCAAATGAGTAGAAATGCAGCAGATCCGCAACCCGTCTTTGAAGATATGACCATGACAACGTTAGACAATAAATAAAAAACAAAATGTAAACAATAAATAAAGACAACGTAATGTTGAGCGCGAAACGTAGAGAGAGGAGCCTAGGAATGGTGGTAGGTGCGCAGCAGGGAGGGGTGACGCAGAAGAGGGGTTGGCGTGCGAGAGAGGGGGGAGTGCGGTGGAGAGCGCAGCCATGGAGAGAGCAGGAAAGTGGTGCCTTGGTACCGCGAAACATCTAGTTACTGCTCAAGCACCTGCCAGTCTGTCTGAAGAGAAGGCGGATATAACCGCTTCCCGTCCGGAACATCAAAAACCATAAGCGGATACATCCGTCACCCGTCCGCGATGGGTTAAACTTTATGATAGATTATTTATTCTAAATTTATTTCAATGATTATGAAACTGATTTTTTCCCGTTGTAAAGCACGGGTACAGCAGCTAGTCTAATAAATTGATCAGTCAAAGCCGTGACAACTTCGTATCAACTCTTGGATTTTTCTTGGCTCCTTCTGAGCACTCCAGGGAAGAAATTTGAGTGTGGCTCGTTCTAGGGATAGGCCTAGCCTGACTTTGGTGAATACTAGTTTATTCCCCCGCTAGAATTTTACGTCACAACAAAATCTGACTTCAATTTAGCATGTGTTGTAGTAACAACTGATTTGTTCTCATTTTAATCACCTGACTACAGTATGTACACTTTCATGAGAAACACAATAATTCAAAATAAAATGTTAGCTGATCAGCTATCTGATACATACTTTCTCCCATTAGCTGTTCAACAACCCTTATCATAGGTAAGCAATGGGAGTAACTGTGATTTTTAAAAGGAGAAAAATCACCAATCAAATAAAATCTATTTATTGTCCTTTTAACATAATGTAATCAACATTGCCAAAGGTTAAACTCTTATGTCTAACATAAAATGCATTACGATCTAAAATAAGAATGGTATGATTTCAAGTGCTTATTATTCTTAGAAATACAAAATATGCAATAACGTAATTTGAACCATAATTTTTACAGCAATGGGAGTTGTACCATTTTGTTGAGAGTTAAAAGGACTATACAATACAAAATTTCAATCAAAACCGGTCAAGCCGCATTAAAAAAGTCCTATTTTGTGTTATTATATGGGTTTCCATGGGGAAATCACAAACAATTGCAATAACTTTTGAACTATAAGTCTGGAGACACCATGAATTAGTACTCACATAGCAAATTTCCTCAAAATCGGACCACAGGTGTGGTCTGTAGCTCTTTACACATCCGAACTCATACACCAGACATGACTTCGAAAACAGTTTTATTAGATTCAGGGGGACCCAAAACGGATTTTTCCACACTAAAATCAAACTTGAAAAACAATACCTACTTTCTCCATAAACTATGTATTGGAGGAGAAAGTAAAAAAAAATACAGTAAAATTATGTACTAAACACATACCTTGTTGCACTTGCCAAATCCTCAGCCTCCTGAACAGCTTTTTCCCATACTTGTATAACAGCTGGCTTGATGACAAAAGCTGATGTTTGTTTTGGATCTTTCTTCCTCATCTATTAAGCAGTTTTTTTGTTACACAGTAAAACATATTAAGAAGTGACATAAATCTACAAAGGTTATTCAATTGGCTCAGTCAAGTTACTGGATTTCATGTGGTTTTATGGGGTGAACCAAGGCCACACTAAAAAAACATGCCATAATGCTCGTTAAGCATGACGTCACGATAGAAGACGGCAATGACGTAATGTTTGCCGTTTGTGATCAGCTGCTTGTTTTAATATTTCCTTGGAAAATAAATACCCTCTGTCACAAAAATATCAAACATTACGTCATTGCCGTCTTCTATCGTGACGTCATGCTTAACGAGCATTACGGCCTGTTTTTATAGTGTGGCCTTGGGTGAATATGGATTTTTTGCATATTTGCATATTATGAAAACAACCAACAAAATTTCAGATATTTTCGGTTCTACATATTCTTTAATGGCATCAAAAGAGTTATCAAGATCCCTTTTCTTTAGTTCGCTGACAATATAAAACTTTTTGTGGAAAGTTGCTTCCTTCCATGACTTTTGAGTCCTTGCTGAAGGCTCTTAATGATGACTCAGCTAAGACTTGACCAAAGATGATGGTGAATCCCACCAAGAATAAGTTGAAAATGTTAATCATAAAACAAAATTCTCTGGATATTGATTATTTCTTTAACTTTTATTGACTCCTCATATGAGTTTGGGCCAGACATTCACCACATCTGCGCCAAGATCTCTGGCATTCTCAAAATGATCTCCTGCTCTGCAAAACACTGTTTGAACATACATGCCTGCTAGATCCAGTAATTGCTCTGGGCTCCAACAACTAGAGTACTACTGTGTATTCTGTTCACCTTACCAGCTCAGCCTTATTCCCCTTATTCACTATCTTCGTTTCGTCCCAATACAGGAAGAATGAGCGTACGCCTAGTATATAGATAATACGCTAAGCTATTTTTTGTGAACAGAACTCCTCCCTCATTTTTAGACCGATTTTGATGATTAGTATCAAAAAAATGGCCCTGATTTATAGTTTTGCAAAGTGGTTTTCATTTTTGAAATCTTAAATTACTTTGGGTTTTAACCCTTTGAGCGCCAACTGCCGATATATCGGCACCCGTTGGCATTGCGAAAATGGCCACCTATATATCGGCAAGTAGATTTTATTAATTTAGAGCTCAAATAAGACTACTGACAATAATTAAAATCATACCATACTAAAACTAAAAAGTTTCCCTACAAGAATATATATACTGTAGAGTATACAAATATTTTTAACTGTAATACATAACTCGGAAAAAAAACAATTCAAATGGCTTTTTTTTTCTTATGCAATAATTGTATATTTAAATACAGTTTAAACTAAACAACTACAAAATACCAAAGCATTTTACATTACATATTATCATGTATACTAGAAAAGACTCGGTATAGATCATAAACAACGTTTAAATGACAACGTACAAATGACGTTTTTGGCCCGAAAGTAAACATTATTTAAGATTGTTTAAAACCGACCTGTCTAAACCATATGTTAATGCTATTAGTAGCCCTGTAGGATTTGGGCCAAAAACTTCATTGGTTTATGTTTATGATCTATACCGGTATTTTTCTAGTATTCGTGCATATTACTTATATTTTAGCCCTGTATTTTTTTTACCGTTTCGGTTAACCCGGGTTTCGGTTAACCAAGGTTTGGTTAACAAGGGTTCTACTGTACTTCAATTTAAAGATGTATTTCACCAGTTCTAACTACATTAACTACATATAATTTGTCCAATAAACTTCAGTGAAATGCCAGCTTTCATAAGAGTTATTGATTATTAAGATCGGATGGCCATAAAGCTCACTGCTGCATCACGAACAACAAAAATTGTTCCAAAAATGGAGTTGTTTATCATTGATAGACAGTTCAATTATCTTGCTTAAAACCTCAACAGTTATCATCAAAACCAACGGGTTTCACCCAGTCTTACTTATTTCTCAAATTAATGGCACAATCTAAAACTAAACTAACCTACTACATAATTAATTGTATAGTTTAATTAACCAGCTGTTGTCTAAACTGATAGTGTAAATTTAAAAGTATTTATCTGTTCAAATTTAAACAAATCTATTCTCTAAGGGTAATATAGGAACTTTAAAGACCACTGGGGTAAAGCCCTGAGGAGTTTTCCAAAATTGTTTTCACACAAACCTTCCCGATGGTGTATATAACAACTCCCAAAGTTTCATCACGTTCGGATGGCCAATGATTTATGCCATTTATGGTAATGTATAAATTTACAAACAAACATACATTTGATTATATATATATATATATATATATATATATAGACAAAATCTTTTAGAGGCTAAGCTATCTTAAACTTAGGCTACAGATAATCTCCTTGGATATCCGCATAAAATTACTCTTCTTGACCTGGTTGGAAAGTGTTCACTTGTACTCACCCCAGCCAGTACAGTTTCACCAAGCTGTACAAATGCATCTCTACCGTTGAAGGCCATGACTGCGGAAGAGTTGAGCCAGCTGCGACGTCCGTTGTCTCCAAAGAACTGGACGTGCAACCAGCGCTGTCCAACAGTGCTGTTGCGCCCTCTCACTGGATTATTTAAATATAGATTAATAGCCTACTACACTTGTTTTTCTAGTGCGAAGGCAAGACAGTAAGTAGCCTATGAGTTTTCAATTTTAACACATTTTATAATGAAACTCACAAAAACCCCTTTTGCTTTGTATGTATACAAGCTAAATATACAAAACTTTGTGACATGTTGTAAATTTAAAAAAAATATGCAATAAGGTAATATACATTGTGAATAAGGCTTCCCATAAGCAGTTAAGATTACACAGTTACAGCAGTTAACTAACAGTAACTCAAATTAAGACTTTAATTGTTTCAAGGCATATCTTCTTATTAGTACCTATCCAACAGTGTGTATACAGTAAGTTGGCACACGGGAATATAATAGCAACCCGGGTTGGTCTTTATCTCCCCTCGGTGCTCGCAGACGTTTCTTTTATTAGTTGCCAACTAACACCTCCAATTCAATTGCATTTTTTTTTTTTTTGTAATAACTCCATATTTAAATATAATATTCGTAAATTACAAAAAAAAACTAAGAAGATTGATGATATAAAACACAATGAGTTTCAATTAAAAATTAACAAATGGCCGCAGGTTCTATAATATCCCACTTTAATAAAAATACATCGTGTTTCATATCAATCTTTTTAGTTTATTTAGTATTTTACGAATATTATATTTAAATGAAGGTTTTATAAGAAATAACAAAATGATAAATTGTATTGGAGGTGCTAGTTGCTGACTCATCGAGGAAACGGCTTCGAACGCCAAGGGGAGATAAGGACCAACCCGGGTAGCTGAAAGGCCCATGCGCCAACTTACTGTATAGGCTACACACAGTAAGTGTCTGGCATCCAAATGGAAAAATTAAAACATCACTTATCTCAACACAGTAGGTAAATTTTTTTTTTTTTTAATATGTCACTGGCTTAAGTAAAAAATATAATTGGCTGATCAAAAATAAAGATTAATATCTCAGCCTCACAATATATTTTAGTGTCAACATTTAAAATTTAAAGATGTATGATTCTTTTCAGATAAGAATTACTATTTTAATGAGCCTTTATGATCCTTGGCACACAAAACAAATTCCGCTCATCTGGGAAAAAATAACCAGGTTTTTATCATGGGTATGCTGCTTCTACACTGCACCAAACAGATAAATATCACATCCCCACAGAGTTCTTTTTCAGGGTAGTTAACAATGCGTTGGGAACAAATCATTGCTGCATTAATTAATACATTACAGAAATGGAAAAATAAAAGGGTGACATTGTTTATCCATTGAATCAGAAACATGAGGAAGTGGGGCTGTTTTATATTTTGTTTCAGAATCTTAGTGAGACTAACCTTTAACGATGAGCGAAAGTTAATAAATTATTTTTGACTGTTAGTGGGTTATTAAAATGCATGTTCTGGTTTTGAAAAGATGGGAAAAATTATGTTCTCTTCAATTCTTTTTAATGGAACATGGTATTGAAGAAAGTTGCTTTCAATCTTACACATTACTATCAAAATATTTACATGTAATTACAAGACTCAAAAACAATTAATTAGGCCTATCGCCTATCTCACCAAAATTCTAGCTTTCAAAAACAATTTCTTAAAATAATACTTACAAACAATTTTAGTAAAAATCTTATGGACTGGATCCATAGCGATGACACAGGGCCAGAATGGATGACCCCCAACTCTTCCCCAAGCTAAGTCTCCAACCATCCATTCACATCCATCTACTGGAATGTTTGGATCTTGAGGTTCTGTTTTGATCGTTCTTTCTGCATTTTCAATACCATCTGGTGTTTCATCTTTTGTCGGGGTCTTCAGCTTTGGCGGTCTTCCCCTTTTCACACTGCCTTCAGGTGAAACCTTTTTTGGAGAAGGTTTCTTTTTTGGCTCTTTTATCGAATAGTATTTAATCTGATTCCCGGGACTGACTTTTAGATAAGCGCTGACTTTTTTGTCAGTTGAAACATAATCATCCTGTATTTTTGGCTTATGAGACCGACCGTATCTACTTATAGTAGGGGAATAGTCAGAGTTCAGAGTTGAATGTTCAACTATAGTAGGCATCCTGGCTTGAGGGGAGCCAATTTCTTGTTGTGGGAGTCGGTCAAACATAATTTTAAAACTTAATCTTTGAGGTGAAAACTGGATAGGGTTTACTTAATAAGTGATATGGGATCGCCAAAGATTTTCAGGACTATCATCTTGATGGCTCTGAAAAGAAAAATAGATTTAGGAATAGTGTTTAATAGCTATTTACCTTACAAGTGTAGTAAGAGCGTTTTTACATCACGTAGGTGAATGTTGTGCAACGAGCGGAAGCGAGTTGCATAATTTACCTAAGTGATGTAAATACGTTCTTGCGTAACGTGTAACGTACAAGATTTTACCTGATCCGACAATATACAGGAGGTTACAAACAATATTTTTCACTATCCATTTCACTCATCTTCTAACAGTAACTTAACGTTCATTTACAAACAAAAGCTAGGTTAGAAAAATTCTTCAAAACATAACAATAAAATTCAAGCGCACAGCTGATTTCTAGCGTTGAACGTCGTTTGCTCCATAGAGGTATATTTTTTTAAGTTAAGCACTCAATGTTATTTAAATGGGTTTCATTACCTCACCGAGTGAGTTTTTATGGCGGGTTAGGTAAAATAATATTTCCATGTAAGAATGGATTACAACCTTAAAATACCCCCTCCTAACTGAGCGACTAAGCGAATTTCCATTGGCTGATTTGATTTTCAATTAAATCTATTTCATTAAATAGCTCAGCCTAGAATGGGGTCTAGAAATTGAATTAGTTTCCTGTGTTATAACTATGGACATTTTCATTGAAAGTTTAGGCCTACGGTAACTTTTTAATTTTTTTTTTTTGAGTGAGGCATGCATAGAAAGATTTAGAGGTTTACAATGGTTAAGATCTTTTCTTGTATAAAAAGAGGTCTGATGCAGTGGTCTTTCTCGGCCTAATCAGAATCAAGAATTCCTGCTTTTTTCAAGGTGGTAGCAAGAAAAACAGCACTACGCCTAAGATGTGAAAACTTATGGAAACCCACAGGGGACAATAAAGGGCACTCAAAAATAGTTCAGGTGGTACTGTACATAGCGATGAGTTGGACCTGCCTTCAGACCAAATGTCCAAAAAATACTCCTTTGGAAAGCCTTTTAAAGTACTATTACCAGATAGGGAGGAATGGCTTGGCAGAAAGGGGCCCATCCCAGTAGGCCTGTAGGTGATTTAGAATGCTATACCGATGGTTCTAAGATCAAACAAGGAGGCACTGGAGCAGAAAAGAGAAGGCATTGGTGTTAGCCTTCCCATAGAAGTGTACCCGACAGTTTTTGAAGCGGAGGTTGTCTTGGTTTGTGCTCAAGAAAATCTTAATATAGAGATCAGAGACAATAGCTATTTACATTACAAGTGTAGTAAGAGTGTTTTTACATCACGCAGGTGAATGTTGTGCAACGAGTGGAAGCGAGTTGCATAATTCACCTAAGAGATGTAAACACGCTCTTGCGTAACGTGTAACGTACAAGATTTTACCTGACCCGACAATATACATGGGGTTACGTACGATATTTTTTATTATCCATTTCACTCATCGTCTAACAGTAACGTTCTTTTACAAACAAAAGCTAGGTTAGAAAAATACTTAAAAGCATAACAATAACATTCAAGCGCACAGCTGATTTCTAGTGTTGAACGTCGTTGGCTCCATAGAGGTATATTTTTTAAGTTAAGCACTCAATGTTATTTAAATGGGTTTCATTACATCACCGAGTGAGTTTTTTCAACTTTACATCACTCGAGAAGTAAGGAAGTTGTATACATCACGCTTGGGATAGGGAAGTTTAACATGGCGGGTTAGGTAAAACAATTAACATCTACACTGATAGTAAAGCTACCTTAAAAGCACTAAACTCATGTAAAACACCACTCATGTTAAAACTCATGTTTTATATGCTATTGGTGGCTGAAAGTTACGTTTTGCTGGCCATGCCAGCTGTCATCGTCATTTGGGGACCGAGCAGGTTCTTACATCCCTAGGGCCGCAAAATCAGCTGATCGCTTACTTTTTTAAACATGAATGCATATTAAATGCACAATCAGTATCCATAGCATTGCAATAGAATTGTTTTACTGTCACCGCTGCCTAGCAACTATTTATTTTAATTTTTGCTGATTCCTCAAATTATTTATTCACATAACCTTAAAGTTCTAGTTGTGTTGAGTACCAGTGTGCATCATTATTGTAGTGAATAGTGCTATTAAGGTATAGTGTGGTGGAAAATGGCGTTCGTACCACGGACCGAAATGGTTTTGCAGCTCTCGATCGTTTTAGGTTGACTTCGTCTCGAACCTAAAAACTATCTCGAGCCGGTGAAACCTCATTTTCGGCCCTAGGTACGAAATATACTTTTTCGACCCCTTTTAACGGACGTTTTTTGTGCCGTTTTTTGCAAAACATTCTGACTTGGATAGGCCTACACAGAATGCACCATTTTTTAATCTAATCAGTATTTTTACAATCCCATTTTGCGGCTTTAAACGGGACACAAAATCGTCTGTATACAATGGTTCTTATAACGCTTTTCATTGAACACTATTAGTCAGATCCACTTGAGAGACGTGCTATTGTCTTTGATTTGAAATGAAAGAAATATGTTTTCTTAAACTATTTTTTTCTTACAAAATCACATGAATCGCAAAGAAAAATTACGTACTTTTACTGAAAGAATAATATACAATTTTAAATTAGTTAAGTTTGGTACATTGGTAAGTATTTAGTTCACACTTTCCTTCTTGATTTTAACCTAGCAAAAGAATCTTTCAGCTATAGTGCTGCCACTGCGTAGTGGTGTATGAAGTAAACAGAAGGGAGTGTTTTCTACGTTTGTCACTAGACATAGCGGCCGGCACGGCGATCCGCTCCCGCGGCGAGCGTGTCCGCCAGACCAATAGGGCAGCACGGACAACTCTACACAGCTGTGTAATAAACTATTTACGTTTGTTTGACTTGGATGCGTTCTGAAATAGTTGTATACTTAATCAAAATATTTGAAAAGGCTATTTTGCCGTTCCCAAAATTATTTGCTTGATTTTTTTTTAGATTAAAACTTCGTTTTTTTTATTTTTTTACCCTCAAAATTTTGCCGCCCCTAAAATTTGCCGGCGCCTATTCGGAAATATGTCCCTGGTCTTACTGAGTTTAAATTTTTTCATGAGATTTTTAACAGTTTGTACATTTCTTTCAATGAAACCATTCCCTTGAGAATGTTTAGGACTTACTATTTCTAATTTGAAACCCCACTCTCTTGCAAACATTTGGAACTGATTTGAAGTAAACTGAGTTCCTGAGTCACATCTTACAACATAGGCTATTCCATGTCTAGAAAATATAGATTTCATCGCTAAGATAACACACTCTGTACTTAGGCTAGTTAACGAGATAAGCTCTACATATTTAGAGTAGTAATCAGCTAACAAGAGGTAATTTTTTGAATCAAACGTAAAAATATCTACCCCTACCTTAATCCAGGGTTTGTCTGCTAAGCTTTCATTACACAAGGGTTCTTTCAAGTTACTGTTACGAAATCGTAAACACACGTTACAATTACTTATCATATTTGAAATGTCACTACTCATACCTGGCCAAAACATAACCTCTCTGGCACGATTTTTACACTTGTCGATACCTGAATGTGCATAATGAATCCTTTCCAACATTTCCTTTCTTAAACTATAAGGAACAATAAGCTTGTCACCTTTCAGTAATACCTCTTTACACACTGTGATTTCATCTTTTAACTTAAAATATTTCCAAACACTTGGGTCAACTTTAGACTTTACATTAGGCCAACCCTCATTAACATATTTTGGTAAAATACTCAATTCCCTATCATCTTTTGTTTCTTGTTGAAATTGCTTGAATTTACCTTCCGTCATGGGAAGTGTTTCAATAACCGAAAATATTTGTGATTCTATTTCCTGGTCTAAGCTAGATTCAGTTTCGCTTAAATAGGCCCTGGAAAAAGTGTCTGCAAAATACAAACTTTTACCTGGTTTATACACTAGAGTAAAATCAAATTTTTGCAACGTAATCAACATTCTTTGCAATCTAGCAGGACACTGATGCATAGGCTTCTTACAAATGACCTCCAGTGGCTTATGATCAGATTCTATAAGAACATCTTTTTTACCATAAATATACTCATAAAATTTTTTAAGAAATATGTTTTCTTAAACTATTTTTTTCTTACAAAAAACACATGAATCGCAAAGAAAAACTACGTACTTTTACTGAAAGAATAATATACAATTTTAAATTAGTTATGTTTGGTACATTGGTAAGTATTTAGTTCACACTTTCCTTCTTGATTTTAACCTAGCAAAAGAATCTTTCAGCTATAGTGCTGCCACTGCGTAGTGGTGTATGAAGTAAACAGAAGGGAGTGTTTTCTACGTTTGTCACTAGACATAGCGGCCGGCACGGCGACCCGCTCCCGCGGCGAGCGTGTCCGCCAGACCAATAGGGCAGCACGGACAACTCTACACAGCTGTGTAATAAACTATTGACGTTTGTTTGACTTGGATGTGTTCTGAAATAGTTGTATACTTAATCAAAATATTTGAAATGGCTATTTTGCCGTTCCCAAAATTATTTGCTAAATTTTTTTTTAGATTAAAATTTCTTTTTTTTTTACCCTCAAAATTTTGCCGCCCCTAAAATTTGCCGTCCTAGGTGGGCGCCTAGTCCGCCTTTTCGGAAATATGTTCCTGAGCGTTGTAATTCATGCAAGAAATTAAATCATTTTTCAACACAGTGTAGGAGTAAAATGAAAATGGGACATCAGGGAAGTAAATTTAAAAATAATAAACCTGTTCATGACCTAGCATTAGATTAAGAGAATGAGTGTAATGTTAGTGGTCATGGGCCTAGGTGTGACGATGATTTATTTTTAGTTTGTGTAGTAGATGAATGTCAGTCTATGCCTAAACCTAATGGGTCTAATAGGCCTAATGAATGGAGAGCTAAACTTAAAATTAATGACAGATTTGTTAGTTTTAAGTTAGATACAGGGGCACAAGCTAACGTTCTACCGTTAAAGACATTCAGACACCTATGTAACAAACGTAAGCCTATTCTGGACTCTGACTCAAAGCTCACAACATATTCTGGAGAGAATTTGCCTGTAATTGGTAA